CACTGAACCCAAACCCCTAAACCCTAAACCCTAAACTCTAAACTCTAAACCCTAAACCCTAAACCCTAAAAACCCTAAACCCTAAACCGCTAAAGGATGCCTTGGCTCGTCCCCTTAAGCTGCGCAAGGCCACCGCTGGTACCTGCGGATGATTTTGTGCTCCAAAGTGTACCTCGTGGTCTGTGACCGCCTACGCCTGCCGCCTTTCCTTCAGGCAGGTCCTCCGAAAAATAGGGGGGGGGGTTTGGGGTTAGGGTTTAGGGGTTTAGGGGTTTAGGGTTTAGGGGTTGAGTGGTTTAGGGGTTTAGTGGTTTAGGGGTTTAGGGGTTTGGGTTAACGGCTCCTTGGGTAAACCTGGACCCTAACCCACTGAGGTCTGCGCTTCGAAAGGGGTCATGGCGAAAATACTCTTCCGAGGGTTTGGGGTGTAAGTTTTCCCAAGGCCCATGTTCTAAAACCTAACTCGAACCCTAAACCCTAAACCCTGAACCCTAAACCCTGAACCCTAAACCCTGAACCCTGAACCCTAAACCCTTCACCCCAAACCCTAGAAGGCTTTGTAGTATCATCCTGTCCTGAGACAGCGAAGACCCCTCATCCAGAACCCAACGTCTTAGATCCCACCAAGTCAGGACATCCGTACTTGGAGGATCATGGGACTTAGTAAGTAGGGTTATAACTAAGGTAGCTATACTTATAACCCCAATTAGGGGACTTATAACCTTACTTACTAAGTCCCATGAGCCTCCAAGTATACTTCCGAGGTGGGAATGGGGGAACGGATCCCCATGATAGTCCCTTAAGCTCCCCTTATAGTAATCCCAATAGCCCATCCCCCCATTCCCTACTAAGCATGCTAGGCCTTTCGGGAAAGCTTCGAAAAACCCTGAACCCTAAGCCCGAAGCCGTGTTTTTGGGTTCTGGACGTCTCCTCGAAGCTGCAGGTGCTTCTTGCCGCGCTCTGCAGCTACTTCGGCCCAGTGAATGCTCTCAATGCTTGTGAGTTGGGGGCTCCGAAGATTGTCGTCTTCTGGTTGCTTCGCGACTGTTTCGTTTGGACGAGATGGGTGGCATGCTATGGTGCTTTCTATGTGCGGCTGGTCTGAAATAAACTAGCAGGTAGGCGAGTTCGGGTGACGAAGCCTTCTAAACGCTACCATCTCGTTTTGAGGCACGCAGGAAATTCACAGACATGTCGACACACCACAACTGGAATTCGCAGCCAGCCGAAATCCGTCGAGCCGCAACACACGATTCAGGTTCTGCTTCCATTACCTGCGAAGCATCGTAAAGCTCTTCTCTGTGAGATTGCCAAGTGGACCTGTCTGGGCAGCGGCCGCCACCGCCTTCAGCATGATGCTGGGCCACTCGTCCTTCAACAGCGATTTCTTGGCTTAAGGTGACTATTGATTTTAAAATTCCTCAGGCTTAGTACTACGCCTCCTATGGTGCAACAACAGTCACGACTGACTACCACTTATAGCCTCAGTCAACACGAGTCAGAGTCATTTCGGTATCACAGAATGCACAGTCCTGTCCAAGTCTTTCGTCGTCACCATCACCATCACCATCAC